TTTTTTTATGGTGGGCTGACCATACCACAAAAGGGAATGAAGTTTCAAAAAAGAACCCCAGAATAAGTACAGAATAAGTGGCCACCAAAAGCTCAACAACTCAAAGGACAAGGAACATCATTACTGATTGCATTTCCATGTATTAGGAATGCTTTCATTATTTTAATTGAGTTAACAATGGTTTGACTGTATATGACAGAGTTACAGAAACACAGGTCTTCACATGTATGTTACTAAACTACATGTATTACCAAAGCACCCATAGTCCTCCACCATAATCTACAGGGCCCCTTTTAGACCTTGCTATCTGACCTTCTAACTGTCTCTAAATTATAGTCAGAATTCTAGTGTTTGTTAATGGTTGCTCTGTCTGACCCTTTGTTTTGTTTCTTTTAACGCTACATTTAAGTGAAATCATATAGTATTTGTCTTTTTGACTTATTTCACTTAGCATTATCACCTACAGTTCCACCCATGTTGCTGCAAATGGCAAACGTTCATCTTTTTTATAGCCAAGTAATATTCCATTATGTGTCTAACACAACTTTATGACATCATTACTTTCCATAAAGGCTAAATTACTAGTTTCAGTGTCAAAAGTAAAATCTCAAATTCAATACCATTATTTTAAAATAATAATGACTTTTTGTTTTTATTTTCCTATTCTATAAAACTAGGATTTTAGGTCACTAGAGGAAAAGTAGAGCAATCAATCAGATCAACTGTACACATGTATGCAATCATTCTACTGTTTTAGGAATAAAGAGAGAAATTATCATGTAGTTTGGAGGAGTCATATCTATCACTCCCTGTGAGCCAGCTGACTAAGCAAGCTGAATATAACTGAAATACAGTCCTTTTTTGTGGGTTCCTGGTGCTTTTAAAACAGAAATTGGGTTGTTTCTACTTTTACAGCAAACATTCCTTACAGGCCCTCCCTGGTGGTGCAGCGGGTTAAAGCACAGCACTAACAAGCTAAAGCCACTTCCGCATGAGTTCGATTCCCGCCTGCCCTGGAGGAGACCACATGGCGCAGCAGACCTCTCCTGATCCACCCACTGCTCCCCTCAGCAGTGTACTTCATCAATCTGCCTGTTCTGTTCCCCACTCTGTCTCTGGTGAAGCCTCTCACCACCCCTGAGCCTCTGGCCTGTACCCCAGTTCTGTAAGCACAAATAAATAAATCTTTTAAAAAACAAATTCCTTACAAACAAGGATTTTCTGACATAATTTAGGGAGTTGTGGAAGGAGTAATTCTTCCCCAAAATTCTTATGTTGAGACTTTACTGTACCCTCCAGTGTAATGGCATAAGGAAGGGAATCCTTAAGAAGGTAGGTAGTGCCTGGTGAGATCATGAACATGAAAAGGCCTCACGAACTGGTAAAAATCAACAGCCCTCCATTCTTAATCCATTAGAAAACTTGGAACAAATTGCTGATCCCCAAACTGAAGAGACTGAGGGATAAAAACAGAGAAACACAAAATGATCAGACAAAACTTCAGAAGCAGTAAGTTCTGTGAAAGCCAGTGCCTAGACCGGAAAACCTGAACAGAGATGTCTCCAGCAGCTTCATTCATAAGCACTAAAGCCTAGAAGCATGCACAATATCCTTCAGTGAGTGACTGGGCAAAAATAAACTGTGATACCCCAGACAATGGGATAAAAAAAATAAGCTAGAATTGAATTTAAATGTACACCACTAACTGAAAGTGGGCACTCTGCAAAGGGCACATATTGTATGATTTCACCTACATCACTGACATTCTGAAAAAGGTAAAACGATGGAGACAGATGAAAGGTAAAGGGTTGCCAGGAGTGAGAGGGAGGAGGGATAAATTGGCAAAGGACAGGATTTTTAGGGCTCCAAAACTATTCTGCATGTGGTATAATGGTAGGTGGAAATACTAATATAAGTTTATCCAAAAATCACAAACTGAAAAATACCCAGAGATGCCAAGGTTTGTCAATGTGGGCCGACTAATTACAACAAATACAGCAACTGGTGAGCTATGTCCATAGCGCAGGAGGCTGTGCACATGTGTGGACAAGGGTAGTAAGGGAACTCCATCTAATCAATTTTTCTTTGAACCTAAAATTGTTGTAAAAAATAAAGTTTTATTAGTTTTTTAAAAGAATTCATATTTTCACATTCTCTCCCATCTAGTAGTCTTACTCAAAGAAACTATTATCAATAGCCAGTCACCTAAATACAATAACCTTCGGAGATTCAAAAAGTAACAAAGGGAATTGGATTTCAAATTTTATGTCCTCAAATTACTTGTGAAATGATTTTTTTCAACTCTTAAAATAATCTTTTTGTGCCAGCAAAAAGTCTATAATAGAGCTGCAAGTTGACCAAGGTGCAATGCCTTGTTACAGTTAAGAACTCAGGATCTTTTAGGAACTGTCTGAAAGCTAGTGTGACCAGAGCATGGGAGTGAGGGTAAGACTGCCATGCCGTGATACAGAAGAGGTGGACAAGGCTCAGACCATACGGGGCCCTCACAGGTTTTGGGAAGTAGTTAGGTTTAGCTCTAAATACAGTAGAAATATCTTAAAGAGTTTTAACCATGAAAGCAACATGTTTCAAACTACATTTTACATGTAGATCTATTTACACCACTGGGGAGCTTAAATATTTATAATTAATTATAGGGTATAAACACAGATGCTATCACCATGGCCCAACAAGAGATAGCAGCTTGGGGAAGCCAGGAAACAACAAAAAAAGATGGACAAATTCTAGCAATATCTGCTCTTGTTGCTAAAAACTAGGTCCTTGGAAGTCCCTTTATCATGGGAAGTTATCTGAAAAAAATTAATGCTATGAATTATCTCTTTAATGGTGTGATGTTCAGTGAAAGAAGACAGAGGTAGTTTATAGCTCAGCCTGGTCCTATACTATAGGACTTTACAAAAGTCACTTAACAGCTATGAGCAGCAGTTTTTTTCATCTATAATGTGACAATAACAACAACTATATATTTCAGAAGAGCTACGAGGTTTAATTTAATAAGAATGCAATCTGAGTAAATATTTTGTTCATATACTGATGCTCCACAATGTTAAAATTCAACCACACCCCTTAGCAACAGCATTTTCTTAATGGAATGAGCTAAATAAAACCAAGGAAAGCATGTGATGATGGAATTTCATGCATGGTAATCAGAGTACAGAAGATATTTTAAGGCAGGAAAACATTCCTCCAAAAACAACTGTTTACCCTACCTCCTGAACATAAAGGAGCCTTCAAATTAGTGTAAATGTTGATAAAAGACTTTATCTTCAGGAAAAAAGACTATTATATACTGCTGAATTCTGGTGAATATACAGAGTTAATGTAATCCACCTTCAAGAAGACCATTAATCATCTACACTACAGCTTACCACATGGTAATAAAATATTCTCTATTTTATTCAAAAACAATCATCCTTTCACCACCTAAACTATACTTACAGAAGGGGAGGATCAGAACAGGATTTTCTTTTTTATATTTTATGAAAATATTTTTTACATTATTCATT